GTTTTGAGAAATGTCTCCTTGCATTTATGTTGATTTGAACTTAAATATCTGATTTTTTAAATTGGACTGTCAAGGAAGAAAGAACATATTCTTTCGTTAAAGCGCTTTCAGCACTTTTGCCTTGAGATTAAATACCAATTTTTTTTGTAATGTATAATAAAATATAATATAATTTCAAAAAGTACAACTTTGTTTTTCATTTTTTTTGCAATATTTAGATACTATGGAATTACGGTTTAAATTAAATAGAAATCGGACATCTATATCATATCATACCCATAAAAAAATCGAAAAAATTAAAAAAAAATAAATTTGAAACAATTTTTTATTTGGCTGTTTTTCTATTTATCAAAATATTCCTTTGAGAAATAGTAATTATTTCCTATATCAGAATTCCGCTTTTAATACAGTCAAAATCAGACAACAATATCATATAGCTGCCATAGAAACGATGACAAAATGCAGCGAATGAAAAAACATTTTACTGTATAGCGCAAATTGCTTAAATATCGAAGCAATTAAGCATAATTTGGTTGTCTTGAACGTGATGTTTTTGTGATAAATGTTGTCTGGGACGGCTCCAGGTGGCGATCCACGTGATCATGAGAAAGATTCAATTTGAAGGAAACTGCAGATAAGAATTGATAGAAACTTCACTCAAAATTAGTACGATTGCATAGAATTTTTTTTTAATATCTCTTGGCTTGGCATAGCTCTGTGAAATGGGTAAACATTTTTGAAAAGTTGCCGTTTTATTCTTCTGATGGGTGTTGTCTTGGGCGCGATACTTTTGTATTGGTTGTTGTCTTGGGCGCGATACTTTTGTATTGGTTGTTGTCTTGGATCGCTCAAGTATAGCCTACCACGTGTTCATCAGATAGTAGAATAGAATTTGTTAAAAATTTCCTTAAAGTTAGTACGATTACTTAGAAGCGTAAACATTTTTTAAAAGTTAGCGTTGATTTGGTATTTTTAATGACCGAAAACAAGTTGGTTCATGCCATGGCTAACGTATTGGTTCAAGTAATGGAGTGCGCGTCACTTATATAACCCTAAAAGCTTTTCTCACTGTAATGCAATTTTCTCAAAAACTGTGGATACAATTTTTATTACATTTTCAAAAAACATTATTTATAAGACTTCTCCTAGGCCTATATAGACGGAATTTTGGCATAAGAATTCTTTCTAATTCAATTTTATAGACTTTTTTTATATCTGCTGACTCAGGCAGTTCTGACCGGCAAGCTCCCCCTCTCTTAACAATGTTATGGAACTGCATTTGGTCCTGGGACGGCGCCGGCTAGCTCCCGAATCCCCAGGGCGGAGTATCCCCAATGTCCCTACAGATTCCACAACATAAACATCGATGACACGCGTCTCACATCACTAAAAATATCGGTCTTCACTAACAAGCAAAACAAACAAAATGTAAACAATGCAAATAATTGAAGTGACGGGAAATATATGGCGTTTTGGTGGCTATTGGTGACCTAGCCAAGCACGCCCACCCTACCAAGGATGCCCCGGAGGATTCTGCGGAGGCATCACCCATGATCAGCTGGTCCAAGTCACTCCTCGCGACTAGGACAGCTCCATCTCCCCCACAACGACAACTCACTCGTACATTTTAGTCTTCATGTACATTTAATATCCACAGTAAGTACTAAAGTTAACATAACTTGTTCTCCTAGTAATTAATTTATCCTTTCATAGCCTCTACGACCAAACTTGGCCACCGTCTTCAAATTTAACCGGTCAAAGCGGAAGATTACCTTCCTTTGGCAAAGGCTACAGGCGCCGCGGAAATAATGTTCCACCAGTCACTTATTGGTGGAACTCGCATTGAACGAGGCGCATTGAACGAGGTGTGTCGGGTCACCTCATCCTGAGGAGCTCCTGGGGAAAAGAAGGGACAGGCCAAACGGTAAGTATTACGCGCTGTAAACAATCCCGCCGAAAACTAATAATCGCGACCCTTTTTTACAGGCAACAACGAGGACAAGAATTGAGGTTGTCGGGTCTAAGTCCGGATAAATTTACAGGTCAACAGGTAAGTACATAAATTTAGTAATGTGCACAGTTAAATTAATGTTAATAATTTCAGCCACTTCTGGGCTAGGCGCCGGGCTAACTATGCCCCGACTACAGTGTACTCTGCCGGAGACCAGCAGCAGTAAGGGCCTGGAACACCCCGAGGAGCGGTGGCGAAGGCGAGCGAGGGCACCGCCATCAGCCTCTCAACGCCGCGCGCTCTGGCAGCCTGACGACCCCAAAGCAGGTGGGTCTTAATAGCCCGGAACGGACTCACCGGTGAATGTCGGATGGCGTTGGCTGCGTGCGAGGAAGGCGAGTAGTGTTTGTCCAGATCTCGTAGCTGGCTCGACCGAAGGTGCGTATTTTCCTGATTTCCCAGATTTAATTTCCTCCAATTTAAAATCACGATTTATTTCCAATTTGATTTTCCAGATTTAATTCCCTCCAATTTTAATCTCCAATTTGAATTTCCAGGTTTAGTTAGTCCAATTTTATATGTCCAATTAAGTCTTCTAATTTGAACTTCCAATTTAAATTCCTCCAATTTAAATATCCCGGGGCTCTTTGTATTGGGACCCCGGTTGCCCTACGAATAATTATTTATAAATAAAATAAACTATTAAACCTAACACAAATTTCTCTAACACTCACTTTTTATTATATTTCGGCACAAACACTATTTTAACATTTTTGTTCTGTCCGCTGGGACAATATGGCTGCGACTATATACAAATTTGCCTATCATGCCTATATCTCGCCATATTCCCCTCGCCTCTCTCGAAATTGGGTCATTGGACATATCAAGGCCATCCTAGCCATACCCAGAGCGAACCGGGCTAGTTTAAATAGCTAGATAGCCAAGACATCAGCAGAAGGGGGCGCCACTCCAGTAGGAGTTGCCACCCTCCTACTTTATCGATAGCCCTACCAAAAACGAATACCTCCTTCTTAATTCTTCCAGCCGATTCCAACTCGAAATGCAACACCACCCAAGGATTTAGAGAGACGCCTCCGAACCATGGCCACTCGACGAAATCATTGGGAGCATTGGAGATCGGTGTCTGGTGAAATCCGAATGCAGTTCCAAACGGTGCCCTACGCGGGGCCCACGCTTACCGGTAAATACTGCCTTTGTTTTTTTGTTGTGCTCCTTCAATGTATGCTGCCTTTGCAGGAACTCCACTCGGAAGACGAAGTCCTCCACCGAGTTGCGGTCGTCCTCGCCGTCAAATGCAACGCCCCACCGCTCGAAGCGAACATGTTGGCTGCCGCCACCTAGTCCAGTATTAGCATAAAAGCATCGCTCCTCGCGGAAATCTGAAGCTCTCCGGTCCTCGATGTGCCAATTTCGGGACTCGTTGCGCCGCCCTCGGTCGCCATCCAGAGGATATCCTGGACTGCTGCTTTCCACCGGTAACGACTCCACGGGCCTTCTAGGCGGCTTTGGTGGAACCTTTGGTGGCGGTGGACGGGAGCCAATCGTGCCTGCTGATGGTGCCGTCTTTGGAATTGCCCCTTTCTGGACCCGACTTGGAGCCTGTGGTGCCGCCGTGTCCGTCCAACCCTGATGCTGTTGCTGATCGGTATGGTTCCCCTGTGGAAGCTGCGGCCGCTGAGCAGTAGGCCTTAACACCTCGTTCATCAGCTTCATCATTTCCAGGAAGCCACCTCGTATTTCATCCCTTATGGACTGGCTGACGCCGGACTCCTGAGCCTTCCGATGGGTCTCTGCCGCCTGGGCCAGTGCCACATTTACTGCCGATTTCGCCGCGTTGTCCAGAAACGCCTCCGCGCTCACTTGCTCCGGAACTTGATGTTGCGTGGGATCTGTTCCCATCTGAAGTTCCCTGCGCAGCTCCTGATGAAGACGACCCAACGGAGTCCTTGGCAGTCCCATCGATATCCGTGGCTGTTCGGCCCCGGCAACCTCATCTAAATCGGTGGACCACAATTTCTCCTCTTCCTCGGCCGGAAGAACCTTCGATCGGAGATAGTAATTGGAAGGCATCTTTGTATCGCACCGAACCACAAAACAGAAATATACCTATCTCTCTCAGAATTCCTATATCCTACCCTAAACAAATCACCACAAGAAATAAATACTTAAGAAGAATAATAAATATTAAAATAAGGACTAGCAAATAATAAATAAACAGATAAATATATAAACATGTAATAACAGATAATAATTATAGAAACAAAATTTTAAATAAATAAATAAATGTTTTAAATAAATAAATAAATGTATAATTTTAGTAAATCAATAGATAATTTTTTTTTTTTTTAGTAAATAAATAAATGTTTGGAAAAATAAATAAATAATGTACGAAAATAAATAGAATAAATAAATAGATATGATTTATTTATGATTCCTCCTTTATTGATTTAATTCTTCTGAGATTTTTATCAGGGGAGATGGAACTGACCCTCGCCGGTGGACTTCCGACCTAGCTCGTACGGTGCTTTCCAAAACCCAATTTTTCCCGTCACATTCTTCCACACGCCGCTCGTCAACTGGACTGGCTATCACTCTTGGTGATAGCCGCCAGTTAAGGACATCGGCTGCTCGTTGAGTCCTGTTGGCTTTGTTTTCCCGTTTGTGGTTTGATCCTTAAATCGAGGTGTTCGTGCAGCGCGTGTACATAAGTCACGGGTCACGAACACACATTTAAGCATCCAACCGACAGAAGGTATCAAACACATCCGAGAAACCAAAAGCCTCCGGATCAACAAAAAAAACAACAAATGGAATTACTACAACTGACTTTACCCCACAAACACAAAATATAAATAAAAATAAATAAATAAATAAAAATCTACGCCCTAACTATTTTATCACAGTTTATATCACAGTTTTTATCACAAATTTAGTTATCTGCGGATGCAAATCTTTCCCCTTCTGGGCCAAGATGCCACCCGCAGGTCACCTCGTCTGTGCTGTGACCAGGAGCCATTGTCTCCATTCGGAGTCAAGCCTCCTGCCTGCTCAAAAAATAAATTCCCCTACCTTTCACTCTGCCTCGCAGACCACCACTCTCGGTGCAGTTGCATACAACCTGCTGTTGCTCTGCAAGTCACCGGAGCGGAGGCTATGCGAGGCAAATCCCTATATGCGAGACGTCGTCGTCTCGACGATTTATTTTTTTACATTGGGCGCCACTATGTTATGGAACTGCATTTGGTCCTGGGACGGCGCCGGCTAGCTCCCGAATCCCCAGGGCGGAGTATCCCCAATGTCCCTACAGATTCCACAACATAAACATCGATGACACGCGTCTCACATCACAAAAAATATCGGTCTTCACTAACAAGCAAAACAAACAAAATGTAAACAATGCAAATAATTGAAGTGACGGGAAATATATGGCGTTTTGGTGGCTATTGGTGACCTAGCCAAGCACGCCCACCCTACCAAGGATGCCCCGGAGGATTCTGCGGAGGCATCACCCATGATCAGCTGGTCCAAGTCACTCCTCGCGACTAGGACAGCTCCATCTCCCCCACAACGACAACTCACTCGTACATTTCAGTCTTCATGTACATTTAATATCCACAGTAAGTACTAAAGTTAACATAACTTGTTCTCCTAGTAATTAATTTATCCTTTCATAGCCTCTACGACCAAACTTGGCCACCGTCTTCAAATTTAACCGGTCAAAGCGGAAGATTACCTTCCTTTGGCAAAGGCTACAGGCGCCGCGGAAATAATGTTCCACCAGTCACTTATTGGTGGAACTCGCATTGAACGAGGCGCACAAAAGCACACACACGGTTAGTGTGTCGGGTCACCTAATCCTGAGGAGCTCCTGGGGAAAAGAAGGGACAGGCCAAACGGTAAGTATTACGCGCTGTAAACAATCCCGCCGAAAACTAATAATCGCGACCCTTTTTTTACAGGCAACAACGAGGACAAGAATTGAGGTTGTCGGGTCTAAGTCCGGATAAATTTACAGGTCAACAGGTAAGTACATAAATTTAGTAATGTGCACAGTTAAATTAATGTTAATAATTTCAGCCACTTCTGGGCTAGGCGCCGGGCTAACTATGCCCCGACTACAGTGTACTCTGCCGGAGACCAGCAGCAGTAAGGGCCTGGAACACCCCGAGGAGCGGTGGCGAAGGCGAGCCTGATGGCGGTGCCTCTCAACGCCGCGCGCTCTGGCAGCCTGACGACCCCAAAGCAGGTGGCGGATCCACGGGGGGAAATTAGGTAAATTTCCCCCCCTTGGAACCGCAGAACCTGAAAATTTCACTTGTTTGCTAGAAAAATATTCTCTGTTCAAATATTCTCATTCAATTTCCCCCCCCAAGAATCGTCTCTGGATCCGCCACTGGTCTTAATAGCCCGGAACGGACTCACCGGTGAATGTCGGATGGCGTTGGCTGCGTGCGAGGAAGGCGAGTAGTGTTTGTCCAGATCTCGTAGCTGGCTAGACCGAAGGTGCGTATTTTCCTGATTTCCCAGATTTAATTTCCTCCAATTTAAAATCACGATTTATTTCCAATTTGATTTTTCAGATTTAATTCCCTCCAATTTTAATCTCCAATTTGAATTTCCAGGTTTAGTTAGTCCAATTTTATATGTCCAATTAAGTCTTCTAATTTGAACTTCCAATTTAAATTCCTCCAATTTAAATATCCCGGGGCCCTTTGTATTGGGACCCCGGTTGCCCTACGAATAATTATTTATAAATAAAATAAACTATTAAACCTAACACAAATTTCTCTAACACTCACTTTTTATTATATTTCGGCACAAACACTATTTTAACATTTTTGTTCTGTCCGCTGGGACAATATGGCTGCGACTATATAAAAATTTGCCTATCATGCCTATATCTCGCCATATTCCCTTCGCCTCTCTCGAAATTGGGTCATTGGACATATCAAGGCCATCCTAGCCATACCCAGAGCGAACCGGGCTAGTTTAAATAGCTAGATAGCCAAGACATCAGCAGAAGGGGGCGCCACTCCAGTAGGAGTTGCCACCCTCCTACTTTATCGATAGCCCTACCAAAAACGAATACCTCCTTCTTAATTCTTCCAGCCGATTCCAACTCGAAATGCAACAACAAAAAACTACGAAATATGCAAACTTGAATCGAGTGCTATGTGCAAATAAAAGAAAATTAAATGAAGTATCAAAATCAAATATTATCACTGTGCCTAAAAATCCGCTGACAAATAATAAATTCTCGATTATTAGTGACACAAACGAAGATAATTCTGCCACTTAAACAACTACGGCCAAGAAACCAAGGCCACCACCCTTTTATGTTCGTCACGCAAATTGTGCTGAACTAACTGAAAACTATGAGAGAACGCTATAGTCGAGTGCCTCGACTATTAGATACCCGTTACTCCGTTTCCTTTAATAGAAATCCTTATCGAGAATTAACGTTGACTCTGTTGAGCAGCTTGGCCAGCTGTTCCAAAGTCATCCGTTAGATGGCGCCATGAAAGGCGGAAATGCAGGCGCTGGCCAGGCTTAAGCGTTTAATGGGTTTTTGGGCGTTAGAGTGGGCGTGGCAAACTTTTATTAGGCCAATCGATAGGTATTGACGAAACAAATACATATCAATTAAAATTTTCATAATAGCATCAAAACTGTGGCCACAGCTTGTGGCTTGTGGGCGTCAGAGGGGGCGTGGCACCATTTTGAAACAAGCTTGCGCTGCGTAGGAACTCCTAAAATCTACATGCAAAATGCCAATCTTCTAGCTTTTATAGTTTCCGAGATCTCAGCGTTCATACGGACGGACAGACAGGCGGACAGACAGACGGACAGACGGACATGGTTAGATCGACTCGGCTAGTGATCCTGAACAAGAATATATATACTTTATAGGCCGACCCTACGCTTCCTTCTACCTGTTACATACTTTTGCACGAATACAATATACCCTTTTACTCTACGAGTAACGGGTATAATAACTGACCAAATTGGAGCTAACAAGTTCTATGTCACTTCTATAAAAAGATGAAATTTAAAAGAAAAAAAATTTAAGTGAACGACGAACAAGATTGTAGATCAGAGGCCAAATCGAATCAACGGTTCCAACCATTGAAATAAAGCTGGGCTTAAAGAAAAAGGCTTCAATGCCTTTAAAAAATACTACAAAATACTAACACTGAAAAATTCGGTAAACTAGATCAGCAGTTAGCCCTCAAAGCTAACATATGGTAGCACTAATCTTCTCGAAGCGTATAGCTTGATTGATGCACTTATTTTTATATTTGCGACATTTTGTTGGATTTATCTTGTTTTGAAACAAGTTCCCCTTTTTCCTAAAGTTCAAGGTACGCAGTAAAATAAAATAAATGTTTTGTGCCCTGTGAGTAGATGTTGTATTCGTAGTTTTAGTTCAAATCCATCACTGATTGTAGCCCGCTTTTTGAAAGAAAACTTCAGCTTCTGTAGACTAAAACATTGTGAAGCCCGTCCCGACCCGCAAAAAGTGAATGTCTGTGATAAACTATGGTTCGTCCAGTGTGTAAATTATTCAAGATCAAATATGCCCTTTGGGATATTTTCAGCAATCATGTCGGTCTGCAAACAAGCACTTTTTGAAGTATGGCATGGGGAAACAGACGCCACGAAGAAGAATACTGCACTAGTTGAGCATATTTTTAAGAACTTTCTAGACAAATCTAAATGTTATAAAACGGATTTGAATTTGAAAACATCTTTAAAAACAAAATAAATATTCAACTAAAAAAAACTAAAATTAAATTAAATTAAATTAAAAGTGCTACATTTTATTCCTTTTTGGGTTGACATTCCATAAAAATTTCAAACTTTGTAAAATTATCGTTATTTTTTATGAAATTCCATTTCTTACCACTTCAAAATTGTTGGAGCAACAGGCATCGAACCATACTCCTGAAAGTATCAATGTAAACACATCCCATAACAAAAACAATGGGAGCACTACAGCAACCGCTGCAGGAGCTTGTGCGCACTCAAAATCTCCTCCTGGAGATTCTAATCAAACAAAAATCTGTTTAGATGATAACTCTTAAAATATCTTTCTGGAATGCGAATGGCATTTCATAGCACAAATACGAGCTCACGCAGTTCCTTGATCATTATGACAATGACGCCATGCTCATATCGGAGACTCACTTAACAATTAAAAACTATTTTTATTTACTGGCTATACATTTTATTCGACAAATTATCCTAATGTTAAGGCTCATGGAGGTACTGGAATTCTGCTAAAGAATATCATTAGGCATTACGAGTTGCTATCATTTGCTACGACCTTTATCCAAGCAACAACAGTACACCTCGAAACCCAAAGCGGCTACCTAAACCTAGCCTCTGTATACTGCCCACCGCGCTTCTCTATTACCGAAGCAGAATTTGTAAACTTCTTTGATGTATTAGGTGACCGCGCGTAACTTATATAACCCTATAAGCTTTTCCCACTGTAATGAAATTTTCTCAAAAACTGTGGATACAATTTTTATTACATTTTCGAGAAACATTATTTATAAGTCTTCTCGTAGGCCTATATAGACGGAATTTTGGCATAAGAATTATTTCTAATTCAATTTTATAGACTTTTTTATATCTGCTGACTCAGGCAATTCTGACCGGCAAGCTCCCCCTCTCTTAACAAAAAACTACGAAAAATGCAAACTTAAATCGAGTGCTATGTGCAAATAAAAGAAAATTAAATGAAGTATCAAAATCAAATATTATCACTGTGCCTAAAAATCCGCTGACAAATAATAAATTCTCGATTATTAGTGACACAAACGAAGATAATTCTGCCACTTAAACAACTACGGCCAAGAAACCAAGGCCACCACCCTTTTATGTTCGTCGCGCAAATTGTGCTGAACTCACTAAAAAACAAGAGAGAACGCTATAGTCGAGTGCCTCGACTATTAGATACCCGTTACTCCGTTTCCTTTAATATAAATCCTTATCGAGAATTAACGTTGACTCTGTTGAGCACCTTGGCCAGCTGTTCCAAAGTCATCCGTTAGAAGGCGCCATGAAAGGCGGAAATGCAGGCGCTGGCCAGGCTTAAGCGTTTAATGGGTTTTTGGGCGTTAGAGTGGGCGTGGCAAACTTTTATTAGGCCAATCGATAGGTATTGACGAAACAAATACATATCAATTAAAATTTTCATAATAGCATCAAAACTGTGGCCACAGCTTGTGGCTTGTGGGCGTCAGAGGGGGCGTGGCACCATTTTGAAACAAGCTTGCGCTGCGTAGGAACTCCTAAAATCTACATGCAAAATGCCAATCTTCTAGCTTTTATAGTTTCCGAGATCTCAGCGTTCATACGGACGGACAGACAGACGGACATGGTTAGATCGACTCGGCTAGTGATCCTGAACAAGAATATATATACTTTATAGGCCGACCCTACGCTTCCTTCTACCTGTTACATACTTTTGCACGAATACCCTTTATACCCTTTTACTTTACGAGTAACGGGTATTATAACTGACCAAATTGGAGCTAACAAGTTCTATGTCACTTCTATAAAAAGATTAAATATAAAAGAAAAAAAAATTTAAGTAAACGACGAACAAGATTGTAGATCAGAGGCCAAATCGAATCAACGGTTCCAACCATTGAAATAAAGCTGGGCTTAAAGAAAAAGGCTTCAATGCCTTTAAAAATACTACAAAATACTAACACTGAAAAATTCGGTAAACTAGATCAGCAGTTAGCCCTCAAAGGTAACATATGGTAGCACTAATCTTCTCGAAGCGTATAGCTTGATTGATGCACTTATTTTTATATTTGCGACATTTTGTTGGATTTATCCTGTTTTGAAACAAGTTCCCCTTTTTCCTAAAGTTCAAGGTATGCAGTAAAATAAAATAAATGTTTTGTGCCCTGTGAGTAGATGTTGTATTCGTAGTTTTAGTTCAAATCCATCACTGATTGTAGCCCGCTTTTTGAAAGAAAACTTCAGCTTCTGTAGACTAAAACTTTGTGAAGCCCGTCCCGACCCGCAAAAAGTGAATATCTGTGATAAACTATGGTTCGTCCAGTGTGTAAATTATTCAAGATCAAATATGCCCTTTGGGATATTTTCAGCAATCATGTCGGTCTGCAAACGAGCACTTTTTGAAGTATGGCATGGGGAAACAGACGCCACGAAGAAGAATACTGCACTAGTTGAGCATATTTTTAAGAACTTTCTAGACAAATCTAAATGTTATGAAACGGATTTGAATTTGAAAAACATCTTTAAAAACAAAATAAATATTCAACTAAAAAAAAACTAAAATTAAATTAAATTAAATTAAAAGTGCTACATTTTATTCCTTTTTGGGTTGACATTCCATAAAAATTTCAAACTTTGTAAAATTATCGTTATTTTTTATGAAATTCCATTTCTTACCACTTCAAAATTGTTGGAGCAACAGGCATCGAACCATACTCCTGAAAGTATCAATGTAAACACATCCCATAACAAAAACAATGGGAGCACTACAGCAACCGCTGCAGGAGCTTGTGCGCACTCAAAATCTCCTCCTGGAGATTCTAATCAAACAAAAATCTGTTTAGATGATAACTCTTAAAATATCTTTCTGGAATGCGAATGGCATTTCATAGCACAAATACGAGCTCACGCAGTTCCTTGATCATTATGACATTGACGCCATGCTCATATCGGAGACTCACTTAACAATTAAAAACTATTTTTATTTACTGGCTATACATTTTATTCGACAAATTATCCTAATGTTAAGGCTTATGGAGGTACTGGAATTCTGCTAAAG